CTGCAGTCAGAAGATCTGTTCTCTCTGATAGAGAGCCATGAGGGGAAAGGCCTGAAGCTCTATGTGTACAACACAGACACAGATAACTGCAGAGAGGTGATCATCACACCCAACGGTGCCTGGGGAGGAGAGGGCAGGTAACAAAGGCCTTAACACATTGACACAATCAAAGCTAGGGTAGAATTCTTTAAAATAAAAAAAAACAATCAAGACTAAGCCAGATTCTAGAAATATCAAAAGAAATACACAACATGCACTTTGTCGTCGTGACCGGTGTAAATGAATACTGAAAAAGAAAACAGTGCAGCATTGTCTGTGCTAACTATATCCTACCATTGTATCTGCCATTCTTATGCACCTAGCTCACTGGTTTAGTTTGTGGTCCACATTAAATGTTCTGAGCTGCTCATAGAGGCCGATTACAGCCAGAGATTCTGTATCTTCTTTCTTTTCTGTGTGTGTCACAGTGTTTAATTTATTGATTGCATTTGAGATGATAGAGGAAGGAAACCAATACAAAAAAATGCTACTAAAAGTAATTTGACAACTGAGGCTTGTCTCATTCTTTGTCTCTCCATTATGCATGACTATAAACTCACATACTGTAAGCAGGTGATGAGATGCAGGAGCAAAACTCAATGTTTTTGTTTAATTAGGAAACCCCAGGGCCAACATAATGAGCCAGTGTTATGGATGTCATGGATCTGGTCTAGGAAGATTTAATGGGTATCAAACCCGATAAATTACAAATGTGTTTGAATGAACATCTTTCAGTTTGTCAAGTTTCAATCCTAAACCTTTTTTTTTTTTTTCAGCCTTGGATGTGGGATTGGTTACGGATACCTTCACAGGATTCCCACCAGGCCTTTTGAGGAGGGCAAGAAGTTCAGCTTCCCCGGAAACTCTCCCAGTGAGCCCCTCAGTCCGCTGAAGGATGGATTCACTGAGGTCAGGAGAGTTTATTTAGATCAGTACTTATTCTATATTGTTTTGCTCATGTCCTGATATTGTGCTGTTTTTTTTTACTATTGTTGTGCAACTGCTCTACAAAGATGTTCCCTGAGAGCTGGGGTCTCCTGTGACAGCCCAAACTTGGCGTGCGTGCGTGCGTGCGTGCGTGCGTGCGTGCGTGCGTGCGTGCGTGCGTGCGTGCGTGCGTGCGTGCGTGTGACACTAAACAGATTGAAGACTCTTTTTCCCACACTATAAATGCAAGTTTCCTCATTCTACATGCAGCAGAGCAGGCAGAGGGACGGAGAGCTGCTCATTACGGTTAATTGAACGCTTTGATGAATGAGACCTTTTCTGACAGCAGCATCTTTTTCTCTAACACTTCCATCTTTTCTCTTTAACTCCTTCAGGTCCAGCTTTCAGCAGTGACTCCTCCTCCTTCTGCACCCGCTGTCTCCACTGGCCTTGAGGATTCACTGTCAGGCCTGTCAATCAGCACAGCCCCGCCCACCATGCCCAGTGAGCTGCAGACGGGTATGATTTGTCCATTCACTCCTAAAACTTGGTTTTGTAATATTAAATGGGTTTCTTTTTTGGTTTCACATTTTGTTAACTAACATGCCACTTGTGTCATCCTACAGGTTTGCCCACAGTCCCTCTGCTCCCCTCCTCAAGCGGCCCCTCCCCCAGCCCACTCATTCCACTGAATCCTGCCACAACTGCTTTCAACCCCTCCACTACGCTACCAGGTGGGTGCATTCTCAAACAGACACATTCAAAACACACAATAGCCTGCGAATTAAACTTGTAGATGTTCGTAGGAGCGAAGAAGACATTTGAAGATGTTCCTTTGGGTTCTGCAGAATTATGAAGAGCTGTTTCCACCCTTTTTTTTATTTTATTTTGAAGATCACAAAATTAGCAAATGAATTAGGGAAATAATGATCAGAAGAATAAATCATGTAAATAAGTCCTACTCTCTTCTGTGTTTCTCAGTCTGCATATCAATATCAAGTTCAGAACACACACTTTGTTTTGAAAGACAATCCTTCAATCATAAGTCTTTTTATTTTCTCAATAAGAAGAAACATCGATCACTAATGATTATCATGATCGTATCTGATCGTAATCTTAATTTGCTTATTATTCACAATGTCAGAAACTGTCTGCTGTCTTAATGCCAAAAAACAACAACACATCCTGTCATGGGTTCATTGGTTCATTGTGTCATTGTGTCTTTGTGTTTGTAGGACTGATGCCCTTCCCAGCCGGTTTACCTCCGCTCCCTAACTTGCCCAACCTCAACCTGCCCCTCCCAGACCTCAGTGCTGTGTCACTACCAGGCAGCAGCACCTTACCACCACATTTAGGAGGTAAATAAACAGCCTGACTTCTGCTCTAGCTGCACACATTATACTGTTTTATGCTACAGTAAGCTAAGCTAAATGGTTGTTGATTCATTTAACAGACAAGATTTTTTTGTTATCTTTTTAGTGACTAAAAAATAAGTTTCTGTTGTGAGGTTATTTTTTACAGTTTCTTACAAAGGTACCATCAAAATAACTTAATTTGGTGTTTCCTTCTCTCTCCACCAGTCTCCTCTCTGGCAGCCCTCCCACCCCTCAACATCCCCGGTCTGGCCCCATTACCCCCTCTACCCACAATGCTGCCCTCCCAGCTGCCCCCTCTCCTCCCTCAGGGGATGGCCCCCCTCCTGCCCATCTCCACCACCGCTCCTGCAGCCTCGGTCACCGTCACAGCAGCTCCTGCGCCCAAGCCCGCTGCTGACCCCGCAGTCACGTCAGAAACTGCCTCCACAAACGAAACCGAATCGCCAGCCCCCACAGAAACATCACTATCGTCGTAACCTGGGAGACAAAATCCCACCTACTATCAAACCAAAACACACACCCGGTTTTCTCTCTTTCTCCCGTCTGTCTTTCTCTCTGTTTTTCTATTTATTTGGCTGAAGGGGACGGACAGACAGCTGCATTCGGTCACACAGACAGAGGTCAGAGTGCTCCAGAGAAGGCTCGTGTGGAGCGATGAAGACCGGAAGACGGATGTAGACTGCTCTTACCAACATGTCTTTATTGCCAGAGTGTCTCGGAGTGATGTTACTTTAAGAGGAGGAGGAGGAGGCAGAGGTCTACTCTTCGCTTTGTGGTTCACTTCACACTTAGTCTTAGTCCCCTCTCTGTTTCACATGCTCCTTTTTTTTTATATATATATATCTGACCAGCGTATGTTAACAGGGCTGGACATGACAAGGCATTTACTGAAGTACTACCGACATAATGCGTCCCTTAGAAATACAAAATCAGGAACGAAAATATCAAAGTACTGCTATATTGAAAACAAATGTAAACTAAATATAAATCCATGTCAGATTTTCTTTCCGTTTGTCCGGTCCTAACATATAATCTTTATTTTTAGTTAATAGACCCCCTGACCAAAATAGTTTGATTTTTGTATTGCTTTTTTTGTTGGAATTACTGTATGAAAGTCTCCTCCCAATGAATGAATCTGCATTATTTTGCACCACCTTTTGTGTTTGTGAAATTATTAGTCTGTCCCTTTTTGTACGTCTCAGAACTCTACAGCACGTCTCTGTAACACGGGGACGTTTCAGCCAGGAGGCCGTGTTCAAGGAAACAGAGGTTTAAAGACGCATGAGCTACTGAATGAAGTGCAACTTAGTTATTCAATACACAGCAAGTCTCCTCTTGGCTCAGCTTAGGTGATATGGTAATGAGGCGGTTCAGCCACAAGGTGTCACTGTAACAACTTTTCTGAAAAATGTATACAGTACACACAGTGCAAGCAATAAAGCCAAATTAATTTTACACAATGCCTCTGTGATTTTTTTTATAGTCTATGATGTGTCTGCTCTTCTTCAGCCCGCTCACACAAATACACTTCATAAGTAATTCACTTCTCCTTGATGTGATTTGGTTCCAAATATACAAATGAAGAGGTTACTAAGAACAAAAGACACCAAGAGGACAAGAGGAAATAAACATCAGAACAGCTGTTAATTGGAGCCTAAGAATTCAACAAATGAAAGGACAGTAGGTCTTTATGCTCAAAGTTTTCTGGTGGAGGATCCCTTCAACCTGATTTATTTGATGTCCTCTGTGCTGGGTGTCTGCTGGAAGGGATGTATATTATAATGTGGTGGATACCATCAACTAGCACCTAATTGTGACAGCTATTTACTTTTGAATCCTTCAAACTATGAATAACTCCTAATTGTAGGCTCGTGCCCTCTCTCCCTGAATCTGACATGATCCCTCTAGCCCATAAATCAAGTCGAGATTTGAATTGTAGCGGCCCAGTAGGAGAAACTATTTTAACTAAATTATATTTGAATACATCTAAAAGGATCAAATTTAACGTTTGTGAGATACACCTATGCTTCAAGTCCAGTCATATTTAAAGGCAACCTCTTGTCTTCAACAGCGGGAAATGTCCGAATCAGACATTCTGTTTGCTGTAAAGATTCAAATGATTTGCTTCTTTTCCTCTGCTGGCTGTAGATGTGATCTTACATAGTGATAATCAAAGCCTGTTGACTTTCCTATGGCCATCGGAAGCTGTTGTATCAGATCCATCTCTGAAGAAGCCTCTAAATACTCTGTTTAAACGGTGTCTGTGCAGCTGTGTTCACTTTCCATATGCCAGTCTCTCCTCCTCATTGACACACAGATATCATCACCTTCCTCTCCTCCATCTCGTTGCATAATGCTCCACAGGAAATATGGGTCACACTGCAGGAACGAAGACTTGTAAGGCGATCTTTATTGCATATGAACGACAGGACCCAGGGCTTCTCTCCCCCAGCAGATGTGATCAGCATAAAGCTCCCTAATGGCTGTGATTGCATCCGTCTGCACATTAATAATCAGATGCTTTATGCACTTGATGCTAGCGCCCATTTCCTATGTAGAGAAACAGAGACAATGATAACTAGACAGGAGTGGTGACATTTTGTTTTATGCCTCACTGCACCATAGTGGATCAAATAACACTTTATCAAAGTGCACACATTCACTTCATGATTTTCTTTTATTGAGGAGCAGCAAGTCGTGAGCGGGTACTTCCTGCAGCTTAATCTGCCTGTCATGTTGCTGAATCTACACCTTGTTTTCCCCACACAGAAAATTGATTAAGACTTGTTTGTAAAGAAGGTGAGAGCGCAGAGAGAAGAGACACCTATACCTGCTGTTACCTGCACCCACGAACATCTGAGAGGGTTTCAAATGTCACTCCGGCGTGCAGGGAAGAGTTTTATTTACACGACGACAACATTTGGATGTTTCCACTTGACGAGGCGCTGCAGTGAATCGTGCTGCAACAACCTGGCATAGTGTGGCCACTCCCCACAGCAAAGAGCTCTTGCTCCATATGATGTCTGTCTGTTCACACATGTACACAACTCCTGAAAATGTGAGTTGAATGATTGAATGAAAACAGACCACAGCTTTATCCAGGATTTCTCCTGCCAGCTCCCTTGTAAAAATTCTGTATGACGTCGGGATGAGCCGATGTGTGAACGTAGCAGGAAAGCTCAGTGTGAACAGGTGGGAAGGGGTGATGGAGTTTATATGACGAGACTGGTGCGATGTGAGGAAGCTGCTTCTTTCCACTCTTTCATTTATATTGTGAATTTGTTCCAATTACATGTAGCATTGTAGCATAGTGTCAGACTCTGTTGCTGCATCTGCCATCTTGGATATCTTGTAAACATTACAACCTCAGCTTCTTGACTTGTCTCCAGAGACCCCCCCCCCCCGCCGTGTCCCACAGCAAATGCTTTGAGGGACACGTGAGAATAACAACTTTTTTCCAGGTCCGGCTGTCCTGTCTTTTTCAGGAGTGCATGTGTGAAAACAGCTTCAGACTCGTGCATGAAAGTAAACAAAAACCCACAGGGACATCGATGAATGTATTGAAGCTCCCTGCTTTAAACAGCACAGTGGGGGTCCATTTCAGAGATAGGGGGGCTCTGGAGAACGTTCCCCTGAACACAGTTCAAGTACACACATATGCCAGGCAGAAACCACCCCCACGTTAGGAACTAAAAAGCAACATTTATAGCAGCAAACTGAGAACACAAAGAGAAGTGAGACACCGAGAAGCAAAGAAAAGCCTCATTATGTTGTATTTGCTAGTGAGTAATGTCTCCTGCACAGGAAATGTACACTGAACTCTGAGTCCTTGCAGCACGGTAACTGATCCAGTCCGACTCTCTGCGGGCAGCTCGACGAGGAGGACAACATGGTGCTGCTCTTTGGAACATTTGGACTCTAATCTGAACAACAAAAATGGATTAAGACAGATTTTACAGACCCACTTATTGTAAACCCAGCAGCAGATCTGGACTGCTTCGCATTTCAACGTAAAAGTGAACGGAGGACTGCGACACCAGCCCGCGCTGAAGAACTTCATGCCAAAATGTGTGTGAGGCCGATCATTGCGACCCGGACCAGAAGTGCAAATCGAGCCCAGATATTTAATCTGGAACATTTATCTTTTTAGTCAAGTCCCAGGAAAGTTACAAAATGATTTTTAAGTTAAGGGTTAATTCAATGACACGTAACCATCATGTTGTGCCTCATAACATTAGACTAAGGAGTTGATTTAAACGTGAAGTTCATATTTGACGTGCAGAGACTCGACCTCCTCTTCTGCACACGGCTGCTCACCCTCTTCTTCTCAACACGACGCTCATATTAGCAACAAGAGAACATCAAGAACAGCGACTCTATGTTGAAGAAATGCGAGGTGTTTCTCTCCACTTAGAGCTAAGAGAGCTGAGGAGATGGCCTCTAGGAACCACTATGGATGTTTAAATGTCTCCTACTGGATTATGAAGTAAAGTCCATAAAGAGATTTTCTCTCTCGTCTTGTTTAAACACTCCCAAGCCTTTCTTTCAATTCTTTTCATTCCACCTCTTTTGTCCTGGTCTCTTCTTTCCCCCCTTTCTCTCACAGTTGAGTTCAAGGGCAAAACTCTCCTCACAGTAGACTCCCATTCCTTTATTCTATTCCATCGTTTCCATTTACTTTTGCTCCGTTGCTAATGTATCCATCCAGGAACAGCTCAGGTTAAACCAAAACAAAAACCTGCACAATCCTGCCTGTGGCGTGGCCGGATAGTCCTGTCAGTCACATGAGAGGGGAAGTCAGTAGGTGGGGAGAGAGGAGGCGGACGGCTGCAGGGAGCCCGAAGAGTTCGAACGTCTCATGTGAGGGAGGAGGTACGAGTCTGAGCACAGCTGGTGAACGTCGAATCGGTCCTCCTTGCGGTAGGCCAGACAGCGGCGGATGAACGCCTGCAGAACAGAGCAGAGAGGAGGGAACAGATTATAAAATGACCTGCAAGCTGTGTGTGGGTTTGTGTGGAGTGATACTGCACCTTTTGTCTGCAAAGACCGGTTCTAAAGTGTTCTTTTTATAGCAACACATCTGAGCTGATCCTGATATACCAGCATGTGTCAACATGTTCTCGGGTAGTCATACTGTTTGCAGGCACTGGGACTTAATTATAGTAAGTGGGGGCACAGGTAGACTAGTGGTTGATACGCGTGCCACATGTACGGAGGCTACAGTCCCCTGAGCAGTCCTCAGACCTGTGGCTCCCTTCCCACATATCAATCCCCACTCTATCTCCAATTTCAGACTCTATCCACTGTCCTATCTCTAAATAAAGTCAATATCTAAAACACCTTTCAGTGTTGAAACAAACCAATGTCTCAATAAAGTAGGGTTCAGTCTCCGAGGGCTGGGCAAAACAATGACGTACACTGTAAGACCATTTACATCTGCCAACTGTCTGACATTCGGTGTCTTTGTTTGACTTGAGGTGCCTTGAAAGCATTGGGAGGTGATTCTTTAAAGAAGACTTTTTTATATTTGACATAAGACATTCTCTTTTCACAGCAGTCTAGAAATAAAACGCTCTTACGTCGAACACCACATCTGATATGAAACCGCAATAACAGTCCAACACAAGCAAAAGCCTGCGAGTAAGTGACATCAGAACAGCAGAGGAAGACAGGTCAGTGTTGTTAAAAAATGACAGAGATGAGCTGTGCTCTCTCCCAAATGTTTCCTCATCCTGCAGCGCTGCATTGTAAATGAGGCTGATGTTGTTAATGGATGAGAGCAGTCAAGGCCCCCATATATCACTCCCCTGCTGTCGGGTTGAAACAAGCACTGTGGAAGTGCTGGTGATAGATTAGACAACACTTGTAACTCAATGTCTAAATACTTCTGCATAGCACTTTGTACATCAAATAATTAAAGGAAGAATGTGCAACTTTCTGATCCAGTAGATGGCGCCCTTGAGCACCAGCATTAAACCAAAACAAACTTATGTTTGGTGACACCTCCGCTATTCTGAAGGCTCTGCTCTCCTCCAGCGACACACCTCAAACCCCTCCCCACAAAGGATAACTCCTTTGTGGATAAAAATGCACCATCACCACCAAGCGTAAGTGGCGGACAAAATTGTCCTTTGCTTGAGCAATATCCTGTGTGCTGCATTGTTGTGTTAGCAGGCTAATGCTAGCACACTTTGGTTAACTAGCTTCATATTGCACATAAATTGACACGGAATGGCCGTGATCTAAAGACACTTATGTGATATCCAAATAAGCAGTGAGTAGGCTGTGTTATTCTTCTTTTCTCTAGTACTTCACTGAAACAGCTTTATACACAAGGCCGTCCCGTCCATAAAGACATGACGTACGGTCCAGACAACAGTACAGCTGGATGGACTCGCGCTTCTCACTCATTGTAGACAGTCATGACTCAGAGAGACATTTACACAGGAGATACTTGATTTCTGCTGTATGCATGTGTATAATGTTGCAGTCTGCCTTTAAATAAAACATCATTTAATATGTGATTTTCTTTCAACTAATGAAAAGCAAGACAGTGTAATACTGTGGCTTTGGGCCGTCAGCAGAGAGGATGAACGTGGTAAACTGTGGGACCGGTGTCGTGTTTGTGGCTTTTCCTAATTCATCAAACAGTAAACGCTGTAGACTGTCACCACATTGTTCACAAACATATAAATGCTTTTTTTCAAATCACACCTCATAAATATGTCAAGTGACTTTAAGAGAGCACTTCATCAAAGCTGAAAACAAAAAAAAACAAGGGCTGTCGGAGAGCCTAGCAGTTATATTGTGCCCTCCATGTACAGAGGTTGTTGTTTTCACTTGTTGTCTGGGTTAAAAAGACTCCTCAATTACAAACAGTGCTCCACAGGGTTTATTTCCTGAACACAATAACACTGTTTTCTTTAAAAATGTGGTTATGACCTAATGAGAGAGAATAGCTCTTAAAAAGAGTCACAGGTCATAAGGTCGATGTGTTTCTCATTACGCTTTACAGAGAGAAGCGGCTGCTTGCAATACACAATGAATGGGGCTGCACTCGCGCACATACCGTGACCGTCTCAGAATTTTATACTGGAATATTGGTCCCACTGCTAGGTATTAAAAGTGTGTTTTACTCACTACATTTTACAGTAGATGGATTGCTTTCACCCAAAGTGGGCGGAGACAAATTCCCAGGATGTTTAGAGTAAAACAGGCTTGTTGGCCTTTGTGTGTGTTTACATGTCTGTGTGTGTTACCTTGGCCTCTGTGCTAGCCTGTGGTTTAGCGGGGAACTGGACCTCTGTGGCTTTGAGGATGGTGTTTTCCTGGAGAATATCCTGCTGTGATTGGTTGTGACCAAACGGCTGGAAAAACAAAACACATCAAATTACCATCAGTCATACAGCCTTAACACGCCTTTCACTACTGACCTTGATCTAAAAAAATAAATAAATTGAAGAACAAAACAAAAAGCCACAACTAAAAGCAAAGCCTCAGAGAATCGACCTGAGTAACCCTACAAAGACAGAGTCCACATTGAACAATCTACTGGAGGTGTACACAATGTGTTATGGTCTGATGTTGGCGTCGTACCTTTCGTCCGTAGAGGCACTGGAAGAAGATCACTCCCACAGACCAGACGTCCACCTTGTTGGAGATTTTAGGCGGCTCCTTCCCCACCACAAAACACTCTGGAGGAAGGTACCTGCAGCACACACAAACACAATGTAATAGAGCTCTTGCATATTTGTTTACAGCCTATAACTGGTAGGTCCACTGCCCATAGTCATGACAGAAGCATCATCAAAAATATTCTTATATGTGGAAACCAAGATGATGTTTTGTGTGGAAGCTTTACTTTGATCATAAAGAGAAGCAACAACCAGGTTTCTGTGTCAGAGTGAGACTCATTGATCTGTGTGTGTGTGTGTGTGTGTGTGTGTGTGTGTGTGTGTGTGTGTGTGTGTGTGTGTGTGTGTGTGTGTGTGTGTGTGTGTGTGTGTGTGTGTGTGTGTGTGTGTGTGTGTGTGTTTTACCAGTAGGTTCCCGCTCCCTGTGATGTGAGGTCCATCCCGTCCACACCGTAGTTATCGTCATCCATGATCTTCGATAAGCCAAAGTCAGTGATTTTGATCTCTCCACATGCTGTGCCATCCACCAATAAGATGTTACCTGTAAAACACAAACACTGTTATGGACAAGATCAGGTTTAAATCACTATCACCTACTGCACTTAACTAGATATGCAGAGCCCTCTCCAGTCCCATTATACACCCAATGGTGACAAACTTATGGCGACTACAAGGACCTTAACAGCCTTCAAGAAGCTATAGCACAGTGGACCGGGTGATATGGGCCAAAAATCATATCTGGATATTTTGTAGCCTAAGAGTAGTACATAAAGAAATGACAAAAGCAAAGTCAGTCCTCATGCTGTTAAATCCCACACAGGCCCTTTTATTAACAGCCAGCTGTAGAATGTCAACATGTACATGAAAGATGACGTGAAAATAAAATACCTGTCTGTTAAATAAAAATAATTCATATTAAATTATGTAAAAATGCTCCTTTGTGGTTTTTAAGTTTTGCTCAGACAGTGAGAGGAGGAATATGAGAACTGGCAACTCTACTGAAGTAACGAACAATTTTATTTGAATGCAACAAACCACATCGATATAAACTATATTGCCTTACCCTTTATCTCTTCTGAAATTATATTCATATCTTCAAAACTCAAAATGCTGCCCAGCCCTAATTGCACATATCGAAGTTATATTGCACATGTGATTCATTCTAAAGCTTTTTGCCCACCTGGTTTGAGGTCGTAGTGGATGATGGGCGGTTTGATCTCGTTGAGGTAACGCAGGGCGCTGACTATCTGCATGACGATGGAGCGAGCCTCCTTCTCTGACATCAGCTTGTTTTGTTTCAGGTAGAAGTCCAGATCGTTTCCTTCACAGAATTCGAGGACCGTACAAAACCTGAGAGAGGGACACATGGAGATCAGAACCTGCAACTTGTGCTTACTCTCATCATGTGATCATGTAATACTGTTGTTTATTTATTGATCCAAAAGAAGAATGATCAGCTATTCTTCCAATATTAAGGTCTTAAAGAAAACTTCTGCCTCATCCCCACGGGGGGTCGGGCTCAGGAAGGAACAGGCGAAAAAATAATCCTATGATAATGATTCAATCTATGATGCCAAAAATGTATGTCAAAAAGATTTAAGTGTCTTTCATTAGTTTTTTCATTCATTTCATTAGTTTTCATTACAGGGTCCTTTTGCCTTTTAAAGCCCTTTTCACACAACCCAGCTCCTGCAAATACATTTTTTTTTTACTATTGGCCAATGTGGGGGCAGGTTACGTATGTAGTGCCACTAAAACTAGCAGAAGAGAACTTAGTGTGGTGAGCACATGAGCACCGGTTATAAATAGAAAACAAATCTAAGCGGCTTGCCGTTAAATATGGCGATTGTGAAAAACAGCAAAAACAGGGCTACTTGTTTAAAAATGTCAAACTATTAAATTGTTAAACTCATCCGACGAGCATCATCGGACATTCACAGACATCCCTAGTCCTCTCCTGCCCCTCCCTGTCTCTGCACTCGCTGCCTGTGCTAACGGTTCAAACTGAAGCAGCTCTGGACCGCCGTGGTCATGGCCTACAGAAGACAGAAACAACAGTTCTGTCCCACAAATGTCATTGCTGCTTCTTGAGTTGACGCTCATGGCCGAGCTAAACTTTCCATTTATGTGTGTGTGATGCATAGACCGTATGATGATGCAGCTGATAGTGATGGCAAGAGGGAATGAGTGGGCGTGTCTTATCCCCCCTGGCTCACCCCTCCCAGCCATGTCCATGTTGATACATTGACGTTCTAAAAGCAGTCTTTATTCATTCTTAGGTAAATGCACTTCAGCTGAACCTATTTCCTGTTTTTTTTTAATCTAGGCTATTTTTACTCTAATAGGTTCGAGTACTTTTAGCAGTGTTGTTTTCAATGTGTTGTTGTTTTTTTAGGTATATTTACTGAATCCTGAATATTGTTGAAACTAAATGTAAAAAAAGCGCTCTTTAAGACAGAGCTGAGTAAGAAACAACTGCAGGATGTGTTGACCCAGCAGGTCTGCAGCTTGTAGAGGTCAAAGGTCACTCACGTGTCAGTGTCCAGGGAGAAATAGTCGTATAGTTTGACTATTCTGGGATGGTCCAGCTGCTTGTGTATCCGGTACTCTCTGCATGCATGCCTGGCAGGAAATAAATGTCAACATAAGTTTCTGTGTCCTACTGGTTTGCGGGGGGATGTGTGTGTGTGTGTGTGTGTGTGTGTGTGTGTGTGTGTGTGTGTGTGTGTGTATGTGTGCATATAAGACCTACTTGTGGTAGTTTTCCTTTTTCTCTTCCCTCCAGTTTTTGTTGAGTTGGTGGATTTTAACTGCTGCGTAGCGCTGCTCAAACAGGTCAAAAGCCTGTTTTTGACGGGAAAAGACACACATTGGTCTTTAAATATACTTTAGAGGGAGAAGGAGCGCATTAAAACTAGTCCACTCGTACAAATGTTACCTTATAAACTTCACTGAAGCCGCCCCTGCCCAGCAAGTGCAGCAGCAGGTACCTCTCATTCAGGGTGGGATGGTCTTTAAACCTGTAAGACGAGGCAGAAGAATATTTTTGGCTAACTACAAAAAGGATTCATATTGCACCACCATGTTCTGAACTTTACACATTTTAAGTACATCAAGACATCCTCTGTTGCACCAGAGTAAACAATCCTAACACTGAATCCTCTTTGATACGTTAACTTACGCTGAGCTGTCCTCATTGTTTATCCTCTTCAGCTCTCTGATGTGGAGGTTCCTCACCCGCTCCAACCGCTCCAGCTCGGCCTGGATCTCAGCTTCCTCCTGTAAAAAAACACAACATTTAAGATGGAGGATTTGACATTTGAAAATGCATGCAATCATATAAATGAGTGGTTCTAAACTGGCCTCAGCCTCAGAACGACGCACCAACATCTCCATAATAATAACTCACAATTTCTAAAAATATCCACTCATATTTATTGAATAAAAAATCTTTCAGTTTGGACCTGAAATGATGCGAAAAGTACAGAATATCGAAACCACAAAACCCAACAGTTGTCTTCGTAAGTAGTCAACAGGTACGTCTTAATGAGCAGTGTGTTTCAACTCTAACTTACTTTTCAGTTTTGATGGCTTCATGCTTTCATGTGCCAGCACTACTCTGCACACAACAAGGAGGCCTTTTGTCCACAATGTGAAAAACTAAGATCTCGTGGCATTGTATTTGCATTTCCACACGTTAAACTAACTTTGCACTTCTTCTTGTTTTGTTGTTTAATGGCGGTAGGCACCAGTATAAGGTGTGTTTCTGTCACCCACTGTGTTTGAAAATGAATAAAAGGCTCTTCTCCAGCGCACTCTTTCATCAGAAACACTTCATTCAGAACCCCTCCAAAGCGCAGCAGACGTTTTACAACTATTTTTTTCTCAGGTACTTTTGGGTCCAATCTCACAGAGAGAGAGAGAACCATGGATATAATTTAAGGCATCCATTAAAAACTATTTAAACATCATCAGTGTTTCCCACAGGATTTCATAAGACTATGGTCATGTACCCCCAGGAGAAGTTAGATGCATCAAAATTTAGTGAAAAATTAATAAGTTAAATGTATCAAAAAAATTGTCCTCTTTTAACAATTTTGTGCTCTTTTAGTGCACAAATTGTTAAAAACACAAAATCCAATGCCCATGGAAGTTAAATGGCTTTAGGCTTGGCCCACTGAGACCCTCAAGAAGGCATACTGTTCCTGCTCCTCTTTCAGTTATTATCGCTCCTTTCCAGCATCTTATCCAAATTTGGATCACATCTCTACAACATGCTTCTATTTGATGACGTCATACAATTTGCTGCAATTTTGGCGCGACAGATTAGACTATGGCGGGCCGCCACAGTCTAGTTAATTAATGGGAAACACTGATCATCTTCAGTCTTTTAATGTACACTTTGGCTGTTTCTAGATAGGTCATGCCTCAGAACACAAAATATCGACTGATTGATTGGTTAAATTATCATATTTTGCTACTGACCTTCTTAAGGTGTCCAAGGCGAAGCTTGAAGATTTCCTCCTGCTCGTGGTACTCAGCGAGGGTCAGTCTGCCAAACAACAACACATCAGAAACTCCAGAATAGAACAAAAATCACACATTAGCTTGATTCGGAAAAATGAATTCTAAGGAAGTCGTGGTTGTTTTTCAAAATCATCTTGTATTAATCTTTTAATGTCCAATTTCACAGAGAAAAGGATCTAAAAGAGGATTATAATGTTTGACTTTTAAAATCAAAGCAATACAATCAGGGTCTGATCTCATTCATTAAGCTATAAGCTTGAGCATCTTTCACACTAACAGTCTGTAGATGTTTCTGTGTACTCACAGCTGTGGTAAGGACGGTTTGAGGAAGGGGTCCGAGTCGTTGCCGTTGACAACTTTAGTTTTGCGCTGCTTGGGTTCGGAGGTGGAGGCGACAGAGAGGGAGGGAGACGCAGGGTTTGGAGGCTTTCTCTTTGCCAGCAGCTTCCTCTGTCGCTCTATGTCCTCCCTCTGCTGGTTGATGCCCTCCTGCTGCCTGCACAGAGAAGACGGTACAGAGGTGGAGAGAGAGAGGTTCACAAACAAACTTTCAACATATTTTTCTCCTGGCTTTGAAGGGAACATGAAAACATTACACAATAACTAAAAGAAAACTAATGAAATGTATTTGATTGGAGGGAAACTTTGCATGTGCAGCCTCTTACTTGATCAGGTTTTGGAATGCGTATCCGTCGGTCCACTGCTCCGTGTAGGACGCTCCGTGTCTGACCGTGGTGAAGTGACCGAGACGGAGACGGTCCTGCATGCTCTTCTCCCGACACGACTGCTTCTCCTGGGTACTCTGAGGACATGAACAGGCAGAGATGAGACGTTACAATCTTAAGTCTGTTCACATGCACAGTAGGATCCTTTTTATGACTGGAAACACAAAGTATTTGCTGTGCATGCTTACATCACACCCAGGTTTCTGAACATCCCTGTTGGTCCAGAATAAGGTGAGTAAGATGGTAAGAACTCAAAACACAACTACATACAGATGATCAGAACCGGTTTTTGTCAGGATCATGTATAAAGGTGTTCCATACCTGTCATATCCCTAAAAAGTGATCCAACCCAGGATAAGAAAATAAAGGGATACTAACGAGCATGTAGGAGCTCTTAAGTTGTTCTGAAGAGGAGTGACAAACTAAATATTGTGGTTACAGGCCCATACCTGTTTTAACTACTCTCTAGGTTACATCTCCACCCAGAATCAAGGTGTGGTAGGTACGTTTATTTTTAACTGAATTCCAGACATATCAAAGCCCCATTTAAGGAATATTTTGATATTACACACTTTAGGGTAAGGGTAATACATTATGAGAGGTAGGCTGTAAATTGCAACACCACTGTGCAGCTTTTAAACAGGGGGAGGGTGCAGAGATTTACAAAGGCAGAACAGCAGGAGTGTTGGATCGAAGCGGAGCTACAACACCAGAGAACCTATCATTTTAGAAAGATGTTGCTCTATTCTACTGCATGTGGAGTAGGAACTTAACCTAAGGTTAGAGCTTGATAAAGAGGATATAGTGTCTTAAAAACAACCATATGCTGCTGCTCTTTAATCGATCAAAAGGGTGACTGCGTGTAAAGACACATACCTTCTCTATGAGCAGTTTCTTGCTCATGGTGATGCACTTATTGAGTCTCTCCTTGTATTTTTCCAGAAGTTTCTGCTGTTCATCTATCTGTCTCCGCAGGTCACAGTTAGCCTGTATAACAGAAATGATAAGGGACAGAGATCAAATCAAAGGAAACCTGTCAACAGAACCTGTATCCTGTTAAAACATCAGGTGTATTGATGCTGAACTCACCCTGAGAAGATCATCTATTCGGCCCTCTTTCTTTTCCAGGTCCAGACTCTTGTTGCTCTCCAGAGCAGCAAGCTTCAGGCCCGTTAACTCGGTCTAACATATCAAAAGAGAGGAACCAGACCAGAGCTGTATTAATACAAATGAAATGTAGGAATCTTGAAAATAAAAAGTGAGTGTTTCCTGTGTGTGTTGTGTTACCTGCACACACTTGCTGGAGGAGGCTTTCGGGTTGTGTTCCCCGAAACATAGACTGGTAGGAGAGGAGCTATTCTGCCGGATCTGCAGTCAAAGAGGCATTGTTCAACTTTGTAATAACAAGCAGAGACCTACTTTGACTTTGTGTGAAAATAAGCTTTTTGTTGAGGTATACTACTGTGGGGGAAAATACTCACGATTGAGCCAGGAGCAGAGTGGGAGCTCTGCGGAGATCGACGAGCTGACGGGAGGCCTCTCACTGGACTGGAACCATTTCCACCCTGGAACTTTGAAGAGACACCAAAAATTAAAAATCTGGCTCAAAATGAGAGCAATGGTTATGACTGGAGGGAGGGAAGCTTCTACAATACTCACATCAAAGTAGTCACTGATCTTGGGCCCACGTGTGGACGTCTTTCCTGCATAGAACATTTCAGATTTAATGCATGCCATAAGTAATGCTGTCACGATACCAGAATGTTAAACTTCAATATGATACAAGTAAAAATAAAATTGTATCAATGCCTGTTTTATCACAGAGAGACAAAAACAGAGGTCCTAAGCATCCCACATTTATTTCTTGTTTCTAATGCCAAAAAACTGCAGTCAAACTTCTGCACTCTGTCAACATTTCACAAACACAAAGGCAACCTTTCCGTTGGGATACATTCCCAATGTATTTGTGCTATTTAGACATTGTCACCTCCTTGGTCTCTGTTTGTAAGAGACATAAATGTAACTTCTGCCTCTTTACGATAGGACTTGAGATACATCAGTATTTGCCAACCTATGATGACTACTCTCTCTTTGTCTTGCTTTTCTCTCACTTTGGGTTCAAGTAAGACTGAAGATCTGTAGTTGATTTTAAGCTTTTCTACTTTTAGATACTATCGATCATCAAAAAAATCAGAGATTGTACCATTTTAAAACACGTCGTACCGAAAAGGTACTGAAGTATCAAAAACATTTTGACAACCTATACGCCTACATAATTTTTTTTCTTCTTCAGTTGTCAGTTATACCTTGACTACTCTCTGAATAGGTGTCGGCTTTCCTTTTCCTCCCCCTGGACGACTCTGAGTGCTTCTTCTCCGGGGTCTGCAGATAAAGAAGAGACAGAAGGAAAAAAGTGCATAAATCCCCTGTGTTTTACCTAACAACGCTGGTTTGAGGGCTGTTGTTCAGCAAAAAAAAGCAGCAGGAAGAACGAGTACATACTGAGTAGGCAGGGGAGCTCCCTCTTTTCAAATCAGAGTTCTAGGACGAGAAGAGAAGGAGAGGTGGAGGTAGTGGGAGAGACGGAAAGATGAGTGGGAAGAAAAAAAAAAAAAAAGTGCTGACAAACAAGCAGCCATGGCTGACCAGGCTTCATTGGTATTATATCTATAACATTCAATTTCAGTGTATGTCTCCCCCTCTTTCAAAATAAATCATACATGCATGATAAACTGTGTGTTGAAGTGTGTGTGTATTCTACCTCCGACTCCTTGTCACTGGATGAGCCCAGACTGCCATAGCTGTGGTTGGAGGACTCATTTGCCAGCCCCTTCAAAACAATGAGAAATGTACAAGAAAGTTTAGAGTACAAAATGAAATATTGTCTGCATGTGTGCAGTGCTATCTAGGTTCAATGATGTTACGTAAATATACATCTTCGGTAGTCATCGTTGTGATGAGCTGTGTCATCTTTTCAGACAGAGAGGGATCACAGCCTCTGTGATCGATGCCCAATTGGTTTGGTGACTGTGGCTAATGTTAGCAGTGTTAGCACGCTCCAGTCCAGTGGTCATGTGCCAGTGTACCCCGACACAATCTACACACAACTTTACCTCCATTTTCTAGATCAAAAAACTGCCAACCCCCAAGCTGCTTCTACAAGATGCCATCTGTCCACTGAGCTGAGAGAGAAGGCACGTTAACTGGAGCTAAAGCCCCAGCTAGTGTCAGGTGGCTGCTTTACAGCTTAAACACAACATTTAAAAAGGCATTGAAGGACTTCATGAGCCAAAATATGAATAATTAGTTTAACCGACAAGTTAAACAAGACTGGTGTCGACAAGCAAGGGCGTTTAAAAGCTTAGTCGACTAATCGCACTCCTTCCTTGTCTCCATCATTTCAAACGTGTGATGTTTAGAATTTTAAATATTGTTAATTACGTCCATGCTTTTCAAAATAAACCACAACAACTCATTTTAGAAAGCAAGGGGAAGGAGAGAGAACTGCTGCCAGTGTTGCCAGAGCAACAGTAAACAACACACTAACCCCAGAGGCTAACATTGGCTAACATGCTACTGTTGACATAAAACAGTGTTCAATTCACATCTCCATTTCTTGATGAAAAAAAGACAACCTGTGTGTACGGCTCTCCCCAAACACTTTTATTTGATCTTTTCTCACGACAGAGCGTCACTACAGCTGGTTTTAGACTTTGTTTACATGTTCTTCACTGCTAAATCACACATGATCACATGACAGGTTTGGTCGCTCTCTCCATCATACAGAATAATCTTAATAATATCATGTACTGTTTGGTTATTAGTGTTATTGGTATAGACATTCCTGTGGTGTGTCTCGGTTCAGATTATATAATAATATATCGAATGGGTGTCCATTAATGAGATGCTACGTGATTTTTAGGTTGTTTAGGATTTTTAGCCTAAAGTAGGCAGTATGCAGCAGGAGTTTTCTATTGTGTGCTGTGGTTACCTTAGCTCCTCCACTGGTGCTCCCAGTGCTGCCTACAGTGTTTCCACTGACGGCTCCAGTGAACCTGGCCTCCAGCAGCTCCTGTCTCCTGGGGTCCAGGCTGTGCAGCTCCTCCATGGGGCCTGGCATGAGGGAACAACAAAGTGAGGTTACATCACCACCATTACCAGCAAGGAATCAAGAGAAATTGAGCCTTTAACACTTTTCCTGGGACAACACTGCTAGAGAGGAATAAAAATGAGCACTCAGAGAGCGGAGGCAATATCTGTGGGAGGATTACAGAAAATTAGAGTGATTAGAGGATAAAAATAGAAAAATGGATTTGATTCAGCTGGGCAGCAGGTAGCTCTTTGAGAGATGCACTTTCATGCTATGACGGCGGACTGTGTTAATGAGTGACACTGCATTTCTAATTCAACCCAGGAGGGTCAGTGTACCTCCTGGAAGTCAGGAGGGAGAAGAGCAGAGGACGGGCGGAGTCTCCGAGTGTGTCAACACAAAAATCTTCTACCGGCTTTTCTATTATCCCATAACTGTCACAATGGCCTCATTACACTCTGCTAAAATAGTCTGTGATACTTAGGAATCTCAACACCTCTGAAGCTTTGCAAATAGAGCACAATAGCAACAACTCATTGACAACTCTGTATTTAGTAATACCATAGATCCACAAATTCAGGTATCAGAATCAGTATTTTTAAAGTTCTGATCATTCAATGAATGTTTCACACCTCTTGCTTTTTACAAACCAATAAGGCTAAGCAAATGCTTACTTTTACATTTTAGTTTCTTCAGTAGATAGCCACATTTGCAGATGTTTGAGGGGTAAAACCTACCACTGTAGATCTGAGCCACTATGTTCTGCATAAAAAGACTCACACACAAGCAGCAGGCTGAACACATGCTCCCTTACTGGGACTTCTTCTATGACAACTGGTTTCCTGGGAGGGATACTCACACTCACTCTCATACACATGCAGGTCCTCTGCTCCCTGTTGACTACTGCTGCAAGGATTTGCTTCCTTATTGGACATTTCCTGGCTGTCATCTTTACATAGCTTGTTGCACAGGGGTAAGCCCTAAAAGGCATAATGGACATTATGAAACCCTCCCGCAGGGAAACAGAGCACACTACAAGGCCTTTGAGGTTAACCAGGGACAGGGACTGAGTTGGGGGTAATTAATACATAAAGCTAGACATACATATTACTGCATTCATTTATAGTTTAATACTTTGGTGTTAAGACTCTCAGGTTTAAGAAACAACGCTTCAACACCCAGTACTGTAATAAACTTTATACCGTCGTTGTAACAGTCTTGTTAACGCTGTCACCATCTACATGTATGTAACGCAATATATTCTCTAACTTAAAAACATAGCTTCATGCTTACAACCTTTTGCATATGGATGTTCACACCACATCCAGCAACTCAGCATCATCAGAGTAAATGAAGTGTCAACATGTCGAAAATGTGTAAACAAGCTGCATGCAAACTGTGTAGAAAGGTAAAAAGCAGGGCCTGCTCTCAAGTTTACAGCAGGAGGGACATGCATTGCAATGCATTAATGGATGCATGCATAGCTCCGTTGTTAAAACTAGATGCAGAAAGGGTGCTGACAGTCACAAACTGCTAAAACAACATTGTTATCGCATTAAAAAACAACAAGCCAACAGGCTAGCGCTGCCTTTGTGCAAACAGGATAGCTTGCTGCTACTTCGACTTCCCATCAACTGAACTGACAGCTGACGTTTGGCTTCCAATTCACGGCATCAGTGAACTTGACATCCATTTTTTACTTCAACAAACGTCAGCTGTACACGGTTAAAATAGTCCACTTCTCCTCCAAAGAGTTCAGTATAAGGAGAACAAGAGTCGGCTGTGCTTTTGGAGGGCTAATATACCTTCCTTGCTCTTTGTGGTCGCCGTTATAGGTTGTTGAGAAATCGTTGGGGACGAGGAGAGCTGCGACCAAGATGGCGTCGCCTCCAAACTTCCACCACCACTTCCACTGTTACTTTGGACACTCATGAAGCCACTTTACCGCCGAGAGGAGCCAGCGTACACTCTGCCGTTCGCGGAAATCCCAAACTTGCGTCCATCATTTGACACCTGCTGTCGTGAAACAGTCCGGTAAACGTGAGTGTGAGCCTGTGAGTGTCGCTAGACGTCTCTCATGTTGTGACCGGTGCAGGTCCTGTGGAGGAGCGGCTTCTTCAGACACTCGCTGAAACGGATACAATGTAACCTTTGCATGATGACCGCACCGCGCGCCTGTCAGCATCCAGTTCGCGAGCGGAGCTCTGATTCTTGTAGGCGAGGCTATCGCGAGGCTGGCGCTCACCTAGTAGCGCGAGGGGGATGGCATGACACCGACACAGACACTGATCTGGGATCATTTTACCCTCCTCCAAACTAGCCCCGGGTTCACTGGAAGCCACAGCTCGGCGACGACCTGAGAACAGCTCTTGTTTTGACAACAACACACACCCCGAAAAAATGGCCGAAAGTTCCTGTCTGCCTGAGAAGAACGACTCAAAACACAAACACACACTAAAAAGCACACTTGCACGGCGCGCGTGCACGCACACACACACACACACACACACACACACACACACACACACACACACACACACACACACACACCTCGCTAGGTTAATTATTGTTACTGTTACGAGTGTTCTGGTATGCATGTGTGTGTTAATGTGCGTTTATAAATATATAAATAATTCGTTATATAGCCTATGTACAGCCTATATGTAGATATATGCTATGTGTGTGTGTGTGGGTTTGTTCCTTTACTAGTAATTATACAAATATATACATATATAATTTTGTTGATTGCCTATTTCTCATGCAGTGTGTATATTACATGTTACAATTAAAGTATGTACAGTATGCATGTACAGTAGTCTACATACAGTATATGCACATGCTGTGTGTCTGTTCATGCATAGGTAGGGCTGTAGTCTCACTGTGCTGTTTTCAGTCTTGAAATACAAGTTGCAGGGGGTGGGGGGGCTGAGGGGGGAGGTGCAGGTGGGAGGATAGTGATGTGGTCTAGGCTATAAGGTCTTTTGTTCCAAATTTGGTGCAGTGCATCAAAATGCCTTTGCCTTCTTGTAGGACACCATACACAAAACACACATACACACAGATCAACTGTTTGGCCTACATCTTAATTTTACATTCCACTCTACCGTTTCAAAATGGAAAACATTTATTTTGCATAAAAATAAATAAACTGTAGCCCTGACAGTGAGCTGACAGCCAGCAAGCTGTTTGTATTTTGTGAAACAGAAAACGTGTTTATTCAGTAATAATAAAAAAGTAATTCCACTGGTTCAGATGAGGACACAGAGCTATAACACTGTTTCAGGGTCTTTGTCTGTCAAACCTCTGCTCTCCTTGCAGTCGGATTGCATCAGGAAACAGACTGAGGCACAAACCATCATTCTGCACCTCATATACACCTGCCCATGGTAACCTGATTTTTTTGGTCACATGGTTTCCATGGTAACAGAGCAATAGTCTTGACAGGCAATGAGGAGGGTTGTATAAGCAGTCTACTACATTACACTACTACACACGTCTCCACACGTAAACACACACACTCACACACAGAGTTTGTGACATCATTTCAGGTTTGAAATGTGAGTTGTGTTATAAGGAAAAGGGTGATTGATACTAAAGCAGCAGTCTGATGTACTTGCAGGACCATCTATCAAATGTCAGATGGAAAATGTGCGGTGTTGGCTCTCCAGCTTGAGTAGAAAATAGAACCGTAGCAGATAACAATGATGACAAGTGGCAGCAGTCATTTACTTTCACAAGACATCAGAGATTCACAAATTATAAACAAAATGTGACAAAAACTCAGACACTGTTTTTGGCTTTAATCATTTGTTTATTTTTTGCAGATGTACAGTTTTCCTTAATACTTCTAACTACATGATAAAAATAAAGTCAGCAAAAGGTATTTTTTAAGAGAAAATATGGGTTTTTATTTCAACATTAGTTTGATATTAACTCTATCAGTTTAAAAAATAAATTCTGAACAGAAATCAAGAAAGGAATCAGTTTTAGCTACAACTGATAACCAAACACAGAACTCAACTTTTACAATAATACATGTCAGCTGATACAGTTTTCTTTCTCTCTCGGTTCTCTTAGTCACCATCACACTTCTTCAAAGGGCTAACCATAATTAGGGAAAGATTGGTTTAACCACATTCAATAGTGAAATAAGTGAAGTCTCCTTTAACTTAAAGTTCTAAGACCTAACAGTAATAATATCTGCTGAAATGTAACTTAAAATGTGTTGATTTTGACACTGTATCACTCAAAGAATCATATCATGTAGGCTTAATATTAATTTTAATTTCAATTCGTCCCCTTAGTTCATAAAACGCCTTATTCATAGCAGGCAAACTTCTAACATTAATAACATGTCAATAAAGCACTAGAACCTCTCTGCCTGGATGCACAGCTCAGCTATAACTGATGTTATTAACAGGCCTAACAAATGTATGTTATTTTCCTGCCAACATATGTCAAATATCTGTTGTGAAAATTCTCCACTTGACTTATTTCTTTGTTTACTTGTGGCGAATTCACTTTCCTGAACAGATTACTGTCACGGAAATCACCCCCTGTATAAATAGACATTACTGTATAAATAGACATTACCATATAGTTTGGGATGACTGTACTTTGCTACCCCTCTGTTGGGGGGACCTAGAGAATCGATCCGACTCTGAAAGGTGGAGTTAGACTCTCTGCTGTCTGTTGATTGGTCGAAAGAATCGTCACTTCCCGTGTGACAGCGGACATCCGGGATAAACACAAGACGTGCTACCTTTAAATATCCTGTAGATTTCGAGAGAGTGATTTCAACGTTTTTGCTGTGTTTTTTATTTTTTAGCGAATAATGGCGTGTGTCACTCCCACAATAGGAGGGCAAGTATCCTCCGTTGGACGCTCATATTGAAGGGAAAAATTATCACAAATATAAAACACAAAGTAAAAAGTAACAGAGCAGTGTCGACCGTTTTCAAAAAAACTGTTGTCATGGAGACAACACTTACGTACACTTACGTTTCTGCCGAAAAACCCACTAGGTGGACACAGGGCCGTGTACATATTATCTAGATGTTTAAAGTTGAGATACACTCACAATGCCAGACAAAAGAAGTGGATTAAAATGTACAATATTTTGTGAGCATGTTTTTGCACAACATGTAGAGGATTCTTTATTTTCCACTGAACTTGTATTTTTTTTCTAAATAAAGTACTTTTTCAATTTCCACGAGTTTCTTTTCTACACAGAATTTTCTACACCTTTTCCATATTCACATTCAAACAATTGCACATGATAAAGGTTCCCCCACACTTTACAATGGGGCTACATGAAACATTTCTAAACACATTCACATGGATTACTTGATATCACTTCCCATATATTACCAAGGACTAAACTTGTTAAGTATATTATTTGGTTTGGGCCAACCGATTATTGAAGGTGTGTAGTTACTGTTCAGTACAATGCTGTTTAAGTGAGGCCTATAATTCACTGCACACCTCATATCCCATTACTACTCAAAAATACTTAACATAGATAAGAGCAAACCTTTAAAAGAACCAATCCGTTGTCAAGGATTTTCAAATGTCAATTCTTATTATAAACACTCAAATCTGGCAATTTTGTGACTTTAAATTGAACAGTCTAGTTTTCCAGACTGCAGATTTCTATCTATTGAACAACAAATTAAGTATTATAGCCTGCTCAAATGAAATCAAACTATAAATGTGAGGCTAATAATCAAAATCTAATTGTACTGCTGCGAGATAACCTGCAGGACAAGTGGAGAATGTCCCAACTAATCCTTGTATACACATTCACAAGACAAAGCAGGAGGAGCAACTTTTGGTTTAGTGTCTTGCTGGACGACACATTGGACACATACCTGCAGGAGCTGGGGATCGAACCCCTGACCTCCTGGATGAGAGACGACTGACTACACGTTAAAAAGGAACGTATGAAATGTTTTTTTTGCTAGACACTCAACAGTTTCAAAAAAGGCACAAGTAAATGATAAAAACCAAATCAGTCAAAACTATTTTCTTCTGTAGAAATGCTCTGTATTAAGGAGAGTTTGTAATTCAAAGTTTATAAGTATTTTATTGTGCAAACACAGATTTGATAAGAATTACACCTAAGGTCAGTCTATTCTTTACCATTCAAGCCTCAAAAGAAAATCATGCTGGCCCTGTGTTGAAAAGTCTCCCTCTGCCTCTCGTACATGATGACGTACGATCTGAGGAGGTCCTCCATCGTTTTGGCCTAAAAAAAAAAAATAGCATGTAGAGCACATTTCATGAACAACTCTGCATCTTCACTGAGATTATTTGTTTTCCTGAAAAACTTTAGGAATACAACCAGATACATGCAGTGCACAGATAATCCACTAGGGGGCAGAAGGCATGCACCATATGACCTTTGTAGGGCCCAATAAAAAAGGGGATTGTCTATCACTCACAAGAATGTGATTTTCATGAATACTTTTGTAAATTTTAAAATGATAAGCAAGAAAAACAATCATATTGTTACAGATATTTGAATAGGAATATTGACTGGATTGTGGCAATGTGTTATTTAAGGATATTTTGTGGCAGATAATATAGTAAAATGGGGTTGAAAAATGGGTTTATTGAATTAGATTCAACAGGTATTTAAGGTGAAAAAGTCAGCATTATATCTGATACTTAATCATGGTATTTGTATCATTTTGTTGCCATTCATGTCTCCCTAAATCATCGTTATTGCTTTCACATCTCCCAGTAAAGTTTACATCGGCCACTTTCTCGTAATTTTCTTTTCCTAATATAT